ATTAAAGGATGATGTAATATATGGTTCGTTATTTGGCTCTTGTTCATCGTGAATGAAAGAGGAGGAGGACGATGATAAAGAGGGAGATTGATTAATAGATGTATTTTGGAATGTTTCAGTAATATCAAAAGGGTTAATGTTGAGAGAAGGATTAATAACATTATTATAAGGGAGTGAAATTCCGACGGAATCGCTTAAATAACTAGAAAAAGAATTTTGTTCGTTATAAGAATGTGGAGCTTCGAAAAAGGTATCGTTTGAATGACTAGTGGAAAAAGAATTAGGAGAAAATGCGATATTTTGTTCGTGGTTTGGCATTGATTCATCGTGAACGAAAGAGTAATATGATAAGAGAGATTGATTAACAAATGTATTTTGAAATATTTCGGTAGTTCCATAAGAGTTAATATTGGGATAAGGTTGGAAATTGGCTGACCTAGATCTAAGTCCGCGTGGCTTTGGTCCACGTTTGTTCCCTGGAACGGGAATACAGTCACGGTTGCGTTTTTCACAATTTGTGCAAATTTGTCCCTCAGAAGGTCTTAAACATCTTTCGTGTCTCTTTTTACAAGTCATACATGCTGAACAAGAGCCAAATAACGAACCATATATTACATCATCCTTTAATTCTTTTTCTACTGGTTGTTCAAACGATTCCTCCTTTTTCGAAACTCAACATTCTCATAATAATACTTTCAACATTAACCATTATGGGACTGTCGATGCATTCCAAAATACGTTCATACATCAATCCTCCTCATTATCATCATCCCCTTTTATTCACGATGAGCAAGTGCCAAATAACGGACAAAATATTACATCATCTTCTTTCATTCATGATGATTCTTTCATTAACAAATAAAGTTATGTCATCCTCTAATTCTTTTTTCTTAATTATTCATTTACCCCTTATAAGATATATTTATTGACTAACCTTTCTCATTATCCACGATGAATTGATACCAAACATATTTAATTGCAATCAACATTCATACAATCATTATTTTTACTTCCTCAATGCTAACTTCGTCAATCTTATCTTGTCACGAAGAATGATTCTTCGATCATCGGTCTATCTCAAGATATCACAAAAATATGCCACCTGATATATATTTCCTTTTTAAATTTTTTTTTGTTATATACATTTTTCTTTCTACATATTCGTTACACACATTTTGTTTTTTATTACAATTAGAACATTTTTATTTCCGTAAATAGTTCTTTTCGAAAATTTTATTTATTTTTTTTTATTATATATATTTTTTTATAAGAACGTTATGAACATACTCTTTTTTGTTAAATATTCTCCGGTAATTTAAGAAGTTATGATTATATGTTAACGTTAAAACTTATGTTTATAATGCTGTA